CTTGTTTATCTGGGTTACAGGTTTTACTCAAAATCGTCAAGAACTTTCTGTGATCTTACTTACCTGTGGCGCAGGGTGCCTTTGGGACCCTGAGTGTCAGAGTGTGATCAGGGTCCAGAAAAAAATAAGCGCCTCTGACTCCTTCTCTACCCGAGGGTGGGGGTGGGGGGAGGTGGTTCTAGAAGTACAGGTCATAGGAAGAAGGATGTACCCTCTCCACCTGCTTCTCACTCTGCTCTAAGGCAGTGTTCAGAGTCCTGGTTATCTTTTCTTCTATCTAAACTCCTTGATGCTGAGTTTTAATGTTTCCCTTGTTTTGGCCTCAGCAGCAGTAAGTAGTAGCTGGTTATAAATTATCATTCCTGAGGCCTGGAACTAATTTGTTCATTAATCTTCTCTTTTCCAGGCCTATGTCTAGTTCCATCTTCTTGTCACTTTTCCCAATTTTCTAAGCTCACCACTGTCCTCATCCTCCCTCTGGAGCCTCGGACAGCACTCCGATCCACCCTAACATGAACTAGTGTTACTTGAGCCTCCCATTTGAATGCCCTGTGCTCAGCTCCGTTGGCTCGCTGTAGATTCCTGCAGGTTTGATCACCCAACTCACAGACTGCCCGAGTCTTCTGTTCACTTCTGTTTGGTCTCCGATGACCAAACATCTGCCTTTTGAATTTTTCACACCTTAATACCCTCAAAGAAAATGTGCAGAAATTGGCCAAGAAGACAAAACTCAAACCAATCCATTCTGTACTCATTAGAAGCTTTGGTGGGCATGCATGAAACCCGTAACTCAGTGAAGTTCACAGACTCACTGTGGTTCGTTCCAAGGTGCATGGGTTCTTAAGTTACGCAAAACAGAGTTGTAGAAATGCCAATCTTTTTATTTTGGTGCTAGAATTTTTTAATTTATTTTTATCCACAAGAATTATGCAAGAAGGAATCTCACTGTGGATCATACTATTTAGATATTCCCTTCTACAGAACCATTAACCACAAGAAGAGACTTGGGAGAAAATAGCTGTCTGACAAAACTTCCTTCTAGAATGCACACATATCAATAACTTCCTGAGATATCACCACAACATCCTCTAGATGTCACCTTGAGAACATTCCAGGATGGAAAATGACACTTTTGCACCACAGACGACCCAAAGTAGACACATTTCAAACTTGCACGCCTAGATCAATGAGCTTATTAGTAAGACATTTTTTCTTTTTGCCAATTATCTCAAAGATAAAGGAATGCTCCATAGTAAGTTTAATTCATAAAATGATCTAATCTCTCATGTCCCTCGAAGAGAAACAAAAATCAAAACCTTCCTTTAAAAAGTATTTCTCGTGGATCCTGATTTCTCTTGAATTCATCTTTCTCCCCAAGGCCCTCCCCAAGGCCCTCCCCAAAACATTTTCCAATTTCTAAGGCTACTCATCTCATTACCTGAAGCATCTAAGGGAGCAGAGTAAAGCAAAGCTTAAAGGCAGAAACAGTTATCCCTGGAACGTTAAGAGCATTTAATTACGGATGATTACCCAATCAATTGTTTTTCTTTACTATGCCAAGTCTAGAGCAGGCCAATAACTGACTCATTTGGTCATGCGATTCATTCAAACCAAATGAGCTGTCAGGTAATTCATTAAGGATTTTAAACACCTGAGTGCATTAAATCAATCTGAAGACTGGGGAGGAAACAGAGAAAGACTTTCACAAGTGACTTCAGAGAGCTCTGGATTATCTCGGGTGTTATTTTTCTTCATATGGACAGACTTACCCTGGGGGCCTGATTTTCCAAAATTATAGAAAAACCTAGGAAAATCAATCACTTTCAGAAGTCTTTATTATAGAGAAGGCTTGCAGATTCAGTCCCAAGGGTTCCTAAGGGGATCTTTTCTAACGACTAAAATTTAGCCCCCCTAAATAAGAGACTTCCAGAGACCAAGAAACAGAGAGATGAAAACTAAGACCTGACAAGCCCCTCCTTTGGACTAAGGGGCAGTGACTCAAACACGCTCCCTGATTATGACTGGGTGACTTCCAGGCCTGTGTGCAGACAGATGCTGGCCACTGGCAGAGAAAGGGGAGAGAAAAACATGTGTGGTGAGTGCTAACAGAGTTCTTTAAAAATAACCTTCGCTCTCGCAGTTCCACGAGAACTTACTTCTAAATGCAAAAACAGCTTCCCTTTAGAGATCTGTATTCTTTTTAGAAGAAGAAAAGAGAGAAGGAGAGAGATGCTTATTAACCTTATAATAAGAACACAGGCTGCAGTGACCTTCCTTCAAGGCCAACTGCCGACTTTCCCCCAAAATATACATACAGATAAAGTTAAAATAGGGAAAGGACCTTACTTATGCAACGTTCCCAAATCATGCTACTCAGGAAATATTAGCAATTATATATGTCTTGATGCAGAAAATTACATGTTAAGCAAAATTCCAGAATAGGAAAAAATATGCTCAATATTTCGAAACATGTTTATTAATTAGCAATGAAGTCTGACACCTTCTCAAATATTGCTAGGTGAAGCGTTAACAGCAGCGATTTTAAATCATAAAAATGAAACTTAACAGTTTTCCCCAGGAATAATAAAATTTTTAAACAATAAAATTACATTTAATGAGAAATTTGCAGTCAAAGAATCACATGTAGGGAGTTTCATATCTTGACTTTATACACCAGTGTTAGAACACTGATTCTCGGACATACTTCAGGTCTTTTTGTCTCTATCCTAATTTTCTGCTACCAACAACGGTTTCCCATTTTCATCAAATCTGACTCTTGCCTGATGATAAGCATTTACATGTAGTTATGTACAATTATTAGTTATTTACAATAGTTATATACAATTATTAATTAAGGATTATGTGCAAGGCCCTAAACTGGTCTCCAACCGATCAAGAATAGGACTAAGCCATTTATGAAGCAAGATTGTAAATCATTGTTTCAAACTGGAACTGCCAATCATCACTCTGCCTTCAAGATCCAAATCACAGGACAGAGCTAAACAAAGTTTTATAGTAAATCTTTTGTTTTAAAGTCATCTACTCAAAAAAAAAAAAAAAGAAATCAGGGAGAAATGAACATATGTGACTTCCAGAACTAATCTTTTTATATTCACACCCTACTTATCATCTCCTGACAGAGAGCCCCTTAGGGCTCTGGCACCCAAAACAGGTTAGAGAAATGTCTGTCTCTAAGCCAGGGGCATGGGAGGCGCTCTGCCTCTTTGGTGTTCAGAGTGAGCCTCAACCTCCACCTACTAGACCGCCCCCTCCCCTTCCCCTGAGGACTCAGTCGCTCCCATCTCACAGATGCAACCTCTCAACAGCAGGAGGTTTGTGGGATGGCCCCTAGGAGCTCAGCACTCAGTCCTCAGGTAGGCTTTAGGCTGTTCTGTCCGTGAGGTCAAGAGGACAGGCCAAGGAAAGAAATCCAGATGCAACCAGGAATCAAGACCTGCCAGGTGTGGGCAGAGACTTAATTCAGAAGAGACTCCAAATTAAAAACAAACCAGGTCAACACAAGGACATGACAGGCATACAGCAGGATACAAATATTTCTCACTATTCTAAGGATGCCCTTGAAAGTTAGTCCGATACCAAGGAAAGGCTATAAAAGTCACCTGTGAAGGCAACCCCAAGGCTCAGACATCTGTTTGACTTGAGGTGCAAGCTCTCCCTACAGAAAACAACGCAGGCGAACAGGTAAGGTGGTCGCCTTTGCCTGAATCATTGTGAAGCAGGAACTGTGACATTAAACTTGTACTACTTGGGAGACATTTCATTTGGCAGGTTTGTTGTCACCAGGAGGGAAAAGTATTTCAAATGGAAGGCAGTGACCCTGTAAGGGTCATCATCAATCACCTGGGGTCAAAGACCTTCCCAACTGTCAAGAAGAGGCCCGGGGTGAGAGAAAGAGGGCAAAGAAAAGATCAAAGGGCCTTTGATGGTGGTTATCTGCTGCACAACAGAACCTGCAAAATGGAACTTCTCTGGAGTTTGAAACCTCCCAGTTTCCAAGGTGAGAGATTTCCAGAAAGGCCTGTTTTTCCCCCTCTTCTTTTCACTTGTGTGCTTAAGATGAAGACTGGAGTCAGCAGGTGGCAGAAGAGGCCTAGAGGCACAGGTTTACCTGGCTGCCAGCTCCAAGGTCTGTCTCTGCAGAGCACTAAATACTATTCTTCTAGAGCAAGCAGAGAAGAATAGGGAAAGTAGTAGTAGGGAAAGGAGGGAAGACCCCGCCAGCTTTGCAGTTGCCAAATGGCAAAATGGCTCAGCTTGAACTGCTTTGTGATACTGTGGTTTAGCTGACGCAGAATCACTTGTTTTTTTTCTTTGTAGATGGCATGCCTCTTTAGGCCAAAGCCAATGGCAAAGCAGTCAGGTCTGTGGGATTCTTTCTCTGAATGATGACACACTCTCTAGGACTGTTCTCCTTGCCTAATGAACCTGAGATGATTAACGGAGCAGCTGGGTCCAGAAGGACGACCTGGCTCGAGCAGTGGGTGAGCCGATTCCACAGGGTACAGAGCTAGAGGCAGGGAAGGAGAGGCTGGAACTCAGAGAGAGGCAGCACAGGAGGGCTCTGCTGAACCACTGGTTCCCGTGCGATGGACTTTTCTGTGGTTTGCTCCAGGAGACCCACCAATCCCAGTAGGCCCTGCCCTGTCCCAGGATGCCTTTCCCTACTAGCTGGTGAGTGGAGTTATTTCAAGGACACAAACAATACGAGCCTTTTAAAATCTCACTGAAGATGTTTATAAACATAATTATTTTAAGAAATAAAGCACACCACAGAGCAATATAAATGGCTTTCAGATTACGGGCTGTTTTGATTAGCCATGCCCTACATGCCCCCAGCCCATCCCATTAGCATGGATAATTGAGAATCTGCTGTATTTCCATTTTAACACAGTCTATCTAATACATTTCAGGCACTTGGATGGAAAGCCAAACTTCTGATTATTATTTTTCCTTACAAGAATTTAGCCCATGGCACTAACCTCTATACAGTCCAAAGAAGCCTTCATAGCGTAGCACTTTCTTAAAACAGTCAAAGCTGTTTTTATACATAAGTTCTCCCACAAAAGAGCCAGTTGATCGTTGGTTCTGCATTCGAGTTTTGACAAGGTCGATAGGATACACGGCAGTGGCTCCCACAGCTAAAATCAAATAATACCGACATTTCAGAAGGAATTGAGGTCACTCAGAGGAAAAGAGGAGGTGGTTCAAGTCAAAGAGAAAACTGATAAAAGGAAAAAAAGTAATTTTGCATGTATACTTTTAAAACTGTACTAACTTTCTATACCCTTAACAGTTATGAATTTTCACTTGAACCAATGAAAAGGTAAAGGATGTTACAGTTTTGAAAAAGCACATCCCTCTAGTCTAACCTCATTATTAACCTGTCATTAGAAAGCCTATCTGCAGATCCATAAGAGAAAAGAGCCATTTGTAAGTCCCTGATCACATGCAGATATGGGGGAAAAAAAGCTCTCTTTGTTCTTGTCCCATTTCATAGACGACATAAGGTTTGCCTTTAATATTTCAACACAGAAAACCAGAGGAAAAAAATAAGAGGAATAATAAAACTGACAAATTTGCACTCATCCCTGGCTTACCTCCAGCGACAGAACCCAGTCCAAATCTGTAGGCCGACTCTGCAACTTGCAGGAGAATGGGTCGAGACGACTCGCCTGAAGCCTTCTTCTTCCCGTGTGTAGGGAACAGAGAGCGGAAAGACAGGGAGTAGAAAAGCGGACAGAACAAAAATGAGCACACGCTATTTTAAAAAATTATCCACTGGTTCCTAAATTTATGACACAAATAAAATGTCAAAGAGGGAAGAAGGTAGGGTTAGATTCAGTAAGTTTTGATTAATGAAAAGTTATCATTGCTGTTACTGTTTAAACATCATGTTTTGAAGGTAATGAAAGCCACTATGTACTAAAAACAATGTTATGAATCTATTTTCAAATGTTCAAGTCTCATTAGTGATGGAGAGATATAAATTTAAAAATATTAATGAGACAACATTCTTCATCAATCAGAATGGGAGACTAGGGGTCTGTTTTTTGTTGGTTTGTTTTTTAATAGCGACACTCAGTCTGGCAAGAGTTGATAGAAACAGCTTCTCAAACCTGGCGTTTAATCAAGTTTAAACTGAAAGGAAACTTGGTAATATTCACCCAATCCCTTAGAAGACATATAACCTCTCACCCTGCAGTTCTACTGATAAAAAGTTAGGCTAAAAAATAATTGTGTACATAAACAAGGATCAAGCTATAAGAATGTTGGAAAGCAGTACTATTTTCTAAGAGCAAAACCTGTGAGAATAACCTAAATGTCCAATAATAGAGGACTGGTTAAACATAATGCTACAGCCTTAAAACAAGATAGTATATCATAAAAATTATGTAGTAAAATACTTAATATTAAGAAATGTTCATATGACATTATAAATAAAAACCACAGAAATGGAGATCACATGGAGGGTTAGCAACAGGGGAGTGGGAGGAGGAGAGAGGAGGAAAAGGTACAGAGAATAAGTAGCATAGATGGTAGGGAGAAAATAGACAGGGGGAGGGCAAGAATAGTATGGGAAAAGTAGAAGGCAAAGAACTTATATGTATGACACATGGACATGAACTAAAGCGGGGGAATGTGGGTGGGAGGGGGTGTGCAGGTTGGAGGGGAGTGAAGGGGGAAATGGGACAACTGTAATGGCATAATCAATAAGATATATTTTTAAAAAAGAATATGGTGAGTAGACAGGTGTTCATGATTTAATTCTCTTTATGTTTTTAAATATTTAAAGTATTTCACAATCCTTAAAAATTGTTTTTATTAAAATTATTTGTGGGCATATACATGTACATAAAAATAACACTAACATTTTGGATACCTCACCGTCTAGAGATATTAAAAATTTTTACAGTGGTTACAACTAGGTGATTGTATTATTATTTTCTCCTCTTGTTTCATCTATCATTTTAAAATTCATATTTCAGGCCAGTCAGTGGTCTGTGTTCTCTGCCTACATAGAACAGTAGCAAAGAATCCAGTAGCAAACTTATGTGTACGAGGTCTGTCCAGAAGGTACCCAGCCAAGTAATATAAAAAATAGAGACATTTATTGAAGGAGATACAAGATACAAGAAAAACTGTACATAGGACAATGACGCGTCCGTCCCCTTCAAAATAGGCACTTTGGGAACTCACACAGTTATCCCAGTTGCCATCAGCTGTCCCATCATATTTTCCTGAATTTCACTGACAGTCTGAAATCTCTTTCAGTTCAAAGATGATTTCAGTTTTGGGAAAAGCCAGAAGTCACAGGGCACCAAATCTGGGCTATAGGGGGTGCTGAGTCACCTGGGTGGTTTGATGTTTCGCAAAAAACTCTGCATGAGACGTGATGCATGAGTGGGCATGTTGTTGTGATGAAGCTGCCATTCACTAGTTGCCCATATTTTGGCCTTCTGAATCATCCCAATAGTTTACGCGGAAGAATGTTCAAGCTCAATGCAAAATCTGATGCAGATTTGTTGCTCTACTTGCTCAGTCACCTTGTATGTGATAGCCACACAGTACACATGCTCACTCCACGGCATCTACCGCCCCCACTGACTAGTACAGTGAAGTCATCGTGGTTCACACATATGCATTCCAGTCCACTCTCCTTGACTGCCAGGTTACATCGATGCCAGGCAAACCATCCTCATTATATTAAATATGGCTGGACTTTGTAAGGATGGACCTCATACACAGATCTCGTACTCCCTCAAATGAGGGTGGCATATAGTTAGTGCTTCATAAATACTTGTTGAATGAATAAAAACATTCAATAAAATCTGTATTTTTCAAAAGCCACAATCATTAAAATTGGTGAACAATGAAAATAATTACCAACCCCAGCCATCAACCCATTGAATTTTAGTTACTGTCAATGTAACACAATTCTAACACAATGAGATAATTTGCAATCTCCTTCAAATTCACTGAAAATAGCTTTCCACAGAAATATGCACCTTTAAGAATGTGAAGCATTCCTTCTGTGAATTACATGGAGTGTTTCTGAGTCTATCCCTGTACAGATGGACATCAACAGTAACTTCATTGTGACCGTTGCAACCATAAGAAAGGTACCGTTTTATTTACGTGGATAAAAATACATAATATGAATGAACAGACAGAACAAAACTAAAACAGACTAGTAGAAACAAGAAACAAACTGGTGGTTGCCAGACGGGAGAGGGGTGGAGGGATGGGTGAGAACGGTGAAGGCGAGTACAGTCACTCATGGTGTGATAACTTTGCCCGGTGACAGAGGTCACCAGTCCGAGTGTGGTGAGCACACTGTCAGCCGTGTCAATGTCGAATCACTAAGTCGTACACCTGAAACTACTGTAATGTTGTATGTAAACTATCCTTTAACTTAAAAAAAGACAAAAATATGCAATACTTTGAAAGGTTTTGGTATCAAAATAACAAGTGAAAACACTGTGGAAATAATGGGGTGGGAGGAACCTATCGCTATCACTAAGTCTTTATTTTAAAGACAAAATAAATGAAACTCCAGGCTTTCGCTGAACTTTTCTGAAGCTAGAAATGCAGTATGCTCGTGAAACGAGAAGAGATTCCTACCCCCGGATGCCTCTGTGCCTCTGCTGACAGTGAGTGTTAGCACTGACCTGCCTGGGGGGTGACCTGCACTGCTCGAGTCTGTCAATGCGGCCTGGCCCACTGAGGTTCACAGAGTAAAGAATATTCCAGGCAAGACCACTGTGAATTGCTCTAACCCTCGAAGCAGCAGCCAACCATTTCCCACTGTAAATCCCATCAGCCTCCTCTAACCTCTTCATGACCAGTATCAACAAGCACCCCCTGCCAACTCTCAAAAGCTGCAGAGGGCCTGAAGGAAAACTTGTGGGATACCACTGCCAACTGGAGAACAGGAGTAAAAAAGGAAAAGAAAAAAGTCCCTGCTTTTTCTTAATCCTCAAATCTCTACAACTAGTAGCACAGAGACACTGGTAAGCAGTGTTTAAAATTCAAAGGGAGGGGAGAGCAACGTTGCTTCCACCTCTGCACACAATTATACAGTCCTCTCTCCTGCACTCGGGGAAATCGGCTTCCTCTTTTAACAACGGCCAGCTGGTTTTCCAGAGGTGCCTAGTTAGGATTTACTGAGCACACACCCACCACTTTGAGTAATATGCTGCACACAGAACTCGCCACTGCATTCGAGTGGGAAGGAGCTGAAAGGAGGGGGTCCTGGCCTGAGGCCTGCCAGTCTTAAAAATGTAGCCCGCATCAACCCATTGTGGTCACACTGGCGTCTCTGTACAGACCCAGAGCTCCAAGCCAAAAACTGTTAAGTCTCACAGGATTCGGAGATGGCTTTGCCTTAAAGGATCTCTTTTTCTAAAACGATGCTCGTCTGTGAGTGGATTTATTTTATAAACATCATGTAAGCACAACCCACCCCATGAAGGCTTCGATTCTCTAATCCTGATCTATAGAAAGTCGAGCAAGAGTTAAATGAGGAGGTCCTCGTGTCTTAAGTTTCTCACTCCCAAACTGCAAGGGATTGGTTTCTGTTAACCATAAAATAAAATTTAGCATTCCTCAAATTGTTTCCACATAACTTACGAATCCCTTCACAGAGAAAAGAGGTCTAAAAGCCTTCGAACTACGACTCCAGACTAAACACAATTATCTCATTTTGATATTCAGAAACACGGAGGGCACAGCAGTGGGACAACGGCACTGACAGGGAACCTCTCTGCCCAGCGAAGACAGCTCTCCTTCAGCAGCACCAGGAGTCGCTGGGCCAGCGACACCGAAACGGGACTTCTGCCCGCGTCTCCACCGAGATCTAGGGAGGAAGGGGGAAAGGGTCTTCTCCCTGTTTTGGAGGGTTAGGTTTTCAGTGCAGTTAGAAAAACCACCTCATCTTTGGGTCGGCGGGGAAAGAGCAAAAATGTCAACTATCTGTTAATCAGAACATCCCTAAGTAATTTCTCCTTTAAGCCTTATGAAATTGTCTGGAATTTGGGTGCAAAATAGAAAAATGGTAGGTCAGACCAGAGTCCGAAAGACAACTGCAAGTGAAAGGGGGTGAGAGGTGCTTTCTGCCCACCTGCCTCTGGGCCTCAGCCAAGTTGAAGGGCAGAGTTCCCTCTTCCAGTGGAGCAATTCGTTCAATGTCTGCTATGGTCATCCGGCTGCCGGGGTGGAGGACGAAAAAAAAAAAACAAACAAACAAGCACAAGCAACAAAATACAAGTTGATTAAAATGTATATTACAGAATTGTAAAACATTCCCTTTTTCCTTTCCTATATTTCAGAGTTATCTTTAATTTGGTTTCTTTTTCTCCCAGTTTGGGGCCTTCCTCCTACCCCCACCTCCTAACCTCCTTTTATTAAGCTAATTAAAAAAAAAAAAAGGGCAAACTTACCCCCGTGGCTCATATAAATCTGCTAACTGAAACAAGATGTCAACTTCCATGGGTGTAACCTGACCAAATTTCTGAGCTGCCAGAACAAACTCCTCTGTATGGAAAAAGAGTTAAAAAGGGAAAGATTCAAGGAGGAATAGCCACTAAATGCAGCATTAACTCAAGGCACTGGAATGAGTGAACATCACAAAACTTTATCATCATCAGTTGGAGAATTCAAGTCAATCCAAATAGGGTAAGAACTTTGGCAGTCCTTTCATTCATTTGGAGAGTGTGCAGATGAGTTTCTCTAACGTTGACTTTAAAAGTCTGGTGCCATCTGAAGACTCAATAAACGACACATGATGTTATTCAAATGTCAGGTCAGGGAAAACTAGGGAGCAGATATGAAACCTCATATGCATAGGTCCCAGGAGGTTATGTTAATGACGCTGTGGAATTCCTAAGCCAATTCTCTGTTTAAAAGAAAATCTCATTAAAATGCTGGTATCTTGTTCTAAGACTGTAGATCAATTTACACTGTCACCAGTATAAGTTTATGGAATTCCTCATGTACTTTTGAAGCCCACTGTAGAGGCTGCCAATTTAGCCCAGGCTCTAGCAAGATTTGAAAACATTTAAGAAACTTTACGCTGTTCTCTCACTCAAAGACTGTCTTTGGTTTATTTAAAACTTGCTAAAGATTGTTTTGTTTGCTTTTGTCTAATCACAAGATGAAGAACACACGTATGCCATAGGGTTAGTACGTGTCAATGAAATAAAAAAAAATCTACAACAAAACTTCTTGGTTGCCTTCTTCACTCTAATAATAATGCACCAAGATGCTTGCAGGTAAGAATTCAGATTTACTCTCACTCACCCTTAGTCACCTCGACATCTTTCTTGTTGCCTGCCAGAGTGCTGTAGATCTTTCTAATGAGTTCCATGTTGTTCAGGAGTGAATTAAATCCATTAAAGTAGGAGAAGCTGACTTGATGGGACGTGGTGCCTCCAGCAGCCTCGAATAAGTTGAAAGTAAGAGAGGGGGAATAAAAATAAAGTACAGAATGAGGAAGATTCAGAAGTACATATATCAATGCTAGTTTGGGAAGTAATCAAGAATGCATGTATAAGAAGAAATAGTTATATATCTTTTTCCTTCACATTGAAAAAAAAAGCTATATGATTTTTAGAAGTAACTGCAACTAATCATGACCAGAACTTGTACTCTCCACACACACGATCCTAGAAAACTAAATAAATACATGTGTAGGGTTATAACAACAGCACCAGTAGTAATTTACAGAGTTCAAATTTCCATTGGAAATGTTTTATAAGTTTGTTTATTTCATCTAATGAGCAATTCTTAGAGGCTTAGACATGCAAACCTATATCACACACGTGTGTGCTTGTACACACAAAACTATATTACACCGGCACAAACATACTATGAAAAGTGGCCAATCTAGCATTAATATCATGATTTGTCATGTTACTTATAACTAGCAATAAATAATCATTTATACACAGACTTCACAGTGGTGGATTTCCAGCAAACAGGCATGTTATGGTAAAATTATGAGATGCCATATGCTTTGATGGGGGTTAAGACTGGTCAGAATTCTGATAGTCAAAATTTGTAAGAAACCATATTTCTTAATAGGGGATAAGGGAAACAGACAGCAAGTCCATTATGAATGGAACTTCAGTTTGGGTTTCAAATTCTATCCTTCCCTAACAAGGCAAAATATTTTTATTAGGAAAGCCCTTCTTTATAAGGTAACAACCATATAAATCTTCGCTTAGTAACCATTTAGAATAGCTGACATGGGAGTTTAGAATGGAGCAGGGAAGGGGGGCGGGCAAGAACGGGAGCTAGATTAACACAGTGCCAGAGTGGAAAAGGCCTTGTCAGAACACCACATTTCCAAAAACAGGCACCAGGGATAAAAAAGGAAAAATGAAAAGGTAGCCTAAGTTTCTGCCTATGGTAAGCATTGTGAGAAACCCAGATGATGGTGAAAACACTCAAAAAAAAATCTCCCTGGGATGAATGAAAAGATAGCTACCAACCACCTAAGGGTCCCCAAATCCAAGTGACCATCAGAATGATCTAGGAAGCTCAGGGTTAGACTCTAAGGTCCTCACCACCTGTAGATGGTGAATCAGTAGATCTGGAAAGAAGCTTAGAATCTGTACTTTTTATAATTATCCATATGGTGATTCTTATGCTCCATGGCCAAGGCTTGGGCACCACCCCCGCAGAAAGCTCCAGGACACTCTCTGGGGCCAGCAGGGAAGGAGAGGAGCTGGATATCCACCAGGATGGAAACTCCGCAACACAGCACAGCGGGGCTCACTGCCTGTCCCATATGCCACTGTTACCTCTCCACACACACACGCTGATAGTTTCTGTTCTGCTGACCTCACATATAATCCAGGCACATGACTTAAAAAATTTTTTTTGCCTTGGAAAATAGATAAAAGCAAAGATTAGCATTTGACACACCTCAAAATATAAAGCAAAATTAGTATGAGATCATAAATTTGTTTTTTCTTTTTTAAAAAACCAATTAATATGTTTTCTTTAAGAGATTCGATATCATTCAGGTAACAAATTAACCTACCTACTAACACTAGCCAAAACATACTGTGTCTTTAACTTTAGTAATGTATATAATCACATTAAGAAAATGTTTCTTTTAAACAGAAAAACCTTTACATAACAACATGTAAGAGTTGCTCTTACAATCCCTTATTCACTGAGCTCATGCCAGGTGGAATAAACTACTTCATTAGGGCAAGTTACAACTTACAGCTACTAGACATTCTTCTACAAAAGGTGTCAAGACGTGGGGGCGGATGGTGACCATGATGTCTCGGAAGTCAATGGCTGTGACTTTTCCAGTCCTGGCATTGTCCCTTTGCACAAAGGCTTGCTTTGCATGCTCCAACTGTATTTCCTACAAATAAAGAATGTAATATAATTTATGTTTCTCAATTACTACAAATAGTCATTTCATGCTCAACTTCAAATTAGGATGAAGAAATATACATTATATCTTAGTTTAAGAAGTTCCACCTTCTGTTCAATAGCAACCCCCACCCCCACCAAGCTGCTGTCTTCTTGCAAAGACAGAACTTTGCTCAGCCCAGTGAACATACCTTGGAAGTATATTCCACCTTAAATCTCCTACCCAAAGAAACCGAATCACTTCTGTGTTCTGCTGGAGTCTGAGGACACCAAGATAAGGAAAAATGGAATGAAGGTTGGTGGGCTCAAAGACCCAGCCAAACCCAGAGATGCAGATGATCCAAGAACAAACACCTGCAGGGACGTTACCTCGCTCCAAAGAAGAGAGACAAATTCTTAACAGTGACCTGGCGTGCGAGCTTGTAACAACGGACTGGAAAGGGTGGTTCTCCTCTGGAATATGCTAGTCCCTCCAACACGGAGTTTCTCAGCCTTGACACCAGTGGTAGTTTGGGCAGGTTAAGCCTTTATTATGGGAGGGGGACTGTCCTGTGCATCCTTACCTTCTCGCTTCTATTAGATGCCAGTAGCCCCTTTCCTCCGAGGCCATGGCAATTAAAAATGACCCTGGAGAGGGCCATGTGTCCCAAATGAGGACCATGGCTCTAGAATTAGGAAGTGAATTGTATGTAGGCCAGAGGAAGCAAAACCGGAGCAGTATCATTGAATAAATGCTTTAATTCCTATGATCTAAAAACAGGAAGCCCAATCTTAGATTTTGGTTGCTATTCCCAGGGGCTGAGGGTATACACAAAATGAAACAGCCTTCCATCTAAAGTGGCCACAGGCCATGTGGAAGCGTCCTTTCTACGCGAAGCACGGCAGTCTGCCCACTCCCCAAACGGGCTCTCAGAGTGAGGTCTCATCTCGATGGAAAGTATCACTGATGTGACTCTCAAGGACTTCAAATTATTTTAATGAAGAGAAGTTTTGTTAGCTGATATTGATAAATTAATTTTTTTAGCTTTGGTGAGATAATGACATATAAAAACTAACTGTCTTTATGAAGTAGTGGCAAGCTAAACTATGGGAGGAATGGCACGGGTCTGATCATGCTTGAAAGCTCCCTTCTCCTCCCCCCAAAAGGTGAGGAGAAGAAGGAAGACTGATAAAATGCTGATAATAACTAATGCTGGATACTGGGAAGATAGTGGGTTGTGTTCTCTCTACTTTTGCGTAGTTTCAAAATGTCCACACATACACACACAAATTAAAAAGACATTACAATGGTGAGAATCAGTTCTTTATCCCACTCAAAGTCGTCTTCTCGGCTACAGCATCTGCTGGGCTTGGTTGGCCCGTCCCTGCGGAAGCTCCCTTCTGAGACAGTGATCTTTGCAGTGGCTCTCCCACTCACTCTTAAATGAGGGGTGTATGTCAGCCTGGCTCGGTCCTCGGCTCTCAGTGGGAAAATCTGAGGAGAGAAGCCTGACAAATGCCTCTCATTTAAGAAGTGACTGGAAGAGGCCAAGACCTCCTCTCCCCAGGCCTCAAAGATTTCTTAGAAGGCCAGACTCCCAGACCCAAATCTCTTCTATCTGCTGGACCTCAACTTCTAACTGCCTAGAGAATATATCCACATGAATATCTTACAAAGGCCACAAAATTACACATCACTACACCCATTATTACGTGTCACCCACCCAGCCCTCAAACCTGGACCCTCTCCTATGTTCAAAGCTTAATTATTGGCATGTTGTTTTTCTGGTCACCCAACCTAGAAATCTGTCTGTTTTAATTCTTCAAGCTTTCTTTGCCCTGGAGTAAACCAGTTACCAAATTATGTTATTTGAACCTTTGGAAGTTCACCCAAATGTGTGTTTTCCTTTTCACTCCTGATGTCACTGGGCCCAGCCCTCCTCAGAGCATATCCGAATCACCATCTTGGGCCAAACTGGAGGCTGGCAGTTCGGACCTCTGCAGCCACCTCACATGCATCAACAGCTGCCTTGCATGATCTCGGCTCTGACCCCAATCCCATCCCCGCACCCCCGCAGGAACTGTCCACAGCCTTTCACCGTAAAGAGCCCTGTCTGAAGCGCAGAGCTGGGGATCCTCCAGCAAGCGCCTCTCAGCCTTGTCTCCAGGGTCCCAGGCCCCGCCCTGCCAGACCTTCCACACATTCAGGTCTCTGTCCATACTCTTCCCCCACCTAGCATTTACTGTGGCTTTTTTTCTAGCTCCTGAAATCCTACCACCTCCTCCAGGCTCAGCTCAAATCCACCTCTTAGGTAAACACAACTAGGCCTCCAAACGGAAAACAGCTGATCACTTGGCCACCTACTTAAATTTCAATGATGAGACTTACCTTTTTCAACTTAACATTCCTGCCTTTCTCCCTACCATTCCAGTTACATGCTCTGTTCATCCCAATTGTGGTGTAGGCAGAATACTTTAGGTAGAGCATGCACTCAATCAACCATAGAAAAAATAAAATCATAATATAAATACAAAGCCAACTCAGTAAGTAAATCATGATCCATTGAACAAAAAAGGAGTTCCCTATATAACTGCATCTAATTTAAGAGGAAGAAACCAACTGCTAAACACCCTGTGGTGAAGGACCACAGTAGGTATTCAACGGAAAGGAAATGAACACAAACTCCTTTGAATTGCCAGACCCTGCTGAAGCTAAGCCAGGGTTATTCTCAACAACAGTAGAAGGTGTGTTTAGTTATTTCCCTCCCTGCCCCCACAGTTTATAACTCAAAGAGAGTTGTAGGGATTCTCAGACCATTATAACGAAAACAGCATCACTTTCCCTGGTCACCGCATCTGCTCAGAAATCAAAAAGCTAGGACACTAAGACCCACCCATCCAGGCTGTCAAACGGGAAGCGAACACCAGCGTGGGGCTTGGCGCCCACACTGCAGGACGGGGAGCACATCTGTAAGGAGCGTGGTGTCACTACGCATGTCTGTGCCTGAAATTCCACAAGTAAACATTCACTATCAGGGATCCCTGATCACGGAACAAGAAAGCTCCTTGAACCCTAATGATGAACAACTTAAGAAAGCATTTCTGCCCTGGCTGGTGTAGCTCAGCTGGTTGGAGCACTGTCCCATAAACCAAAAAGTTATGGGTTTGATTCCTGGTCAGGGTACATACCTGAGATGTGGATTTGGTCCCTGGTCAAGGTGTGTGTGAGAGGCAACCAATCAATGTTTTTCTCTCTCACATTGATGTTTCTCTCCCTCTCTCTCCCTCCCTTTCTCTCTCTTAAAAAAAACCCAAAACAACAAGAGACCCATTTCTGACAGCTCTTGAAGATTGGGTACATTATAAATTCCATGAAAAACAAGAAGCTAGATCTACATAGTTATCTAGATAATGGGCTAGAGTGAAACATTTAGTTAAGTGTTTCCCCAAACTTGGAAGTAACTTACTACAGATGTGAGTTGACTTCTGAAGAACATCTATTTATGTCATGACTGTGTCCTCTTCTGGGTAAAGAAATGAAACTATTTCCTCAGTCGATACAACAACCATGATAACAGCATTAAGTGAGCATATGTTACGTCCTGGACACTGTTCTCAAGCACTTTATGGTAATACTCATTCAATGCTCACAGTAACCCTGCAATGTAGGTACCATTATTCACCTCACTGGAGCGGTTGGGGAAACCACCCTCACGGACAGGAAGCAGCAAAGCTGGAATCCAAACCCAGGCAGCTGTGCCCTTCTGGCGATGCTCCTGATACTCTGCTACACTTCAGAGAGGGAGAGCCTGGATAAGGCCACTTTCAGGAATTTGATTACAAAGTTGACACCTAGGGATCTTAATAGCTCTGAAAAGATAAAATTTAACTTCCTTTTAAATTATTCTCAAGGCTGTAGATTTTTCAGTTGCCTATGTTCACGAGAAAACAATAAATCCCTGAAACTTTCTCATGCAAATGTCTTTGATGCGCTCAGAGTGTCAGGACTGTTTGCCCGGCAACAGCAGAGACCACAGGGACAGAAACCAGATGCAAGAGGCTTTTCCTGGCCTTGCTCACTGTTTGCTCACTTTCTCACAATCTCAAGAGACCGAGGAGAAAGACAAATAAGGAGTCCTGGGGGCGCTAACACCTGGGTACTCTGTAAATACTTCATTTGAGAATGAGTGACCTTGCAAGGAAGCATCCAGGCCCCACGCTCAGGGCAGTGACTTCAAGCTCTCTGCTGGCACTGTTAAAGCTGTTTGAGAAAAACCTCATGTGCACTTTGGGCTACAGAGACCCTGGCAGTTCCTAGATCTGAAGCCAGAGGGAGAAAACTGGGACAGAGAATGTCTGGTGTGCATGAAATAGAGCATATATAGGATAACGTTCATTTCCGAAATGAAGGGGACCAGAATGGATAAACTCATCCTCTGTGGTCGGGGATTGATGGAGTGGAGGGAAATGGTGGGAGGAGCCATAGTTAAATTCAAGTATTTAAAGGTTAAAGGTCTATCAGGAAAGATGTTAGACTGGCTGACATGACTTAAGTTTTTAAAAAGCAATCAAATGACAAAAAATATAGGGATCAGGTTCTAGCACAAAACTCTGAAGTATTTAACTTCAGAAATACAATGAACTAACTTCCTTACAAAGTAGTGGGTTCCCTCCCAGTCATTGGAACATATATCAAGAAATTTACTTTCTTTTATTTATTTTAATATGGGGGCGTGGGGTTATGGAAGCAATACGTTATGACAAAAATCTGGAGTTTGAACCAGGGATGGGCAGAGCTCAAGTACCAGTCAAGACACTCCTGGCTGGGAGGGCTCAGAGGGGTGCCTGTTTGCTTCTTAGAGCTCCAGCCACATCCACTACACAGGGTTTTAAAACTATACATCATGCCTGATAGGTACTTACTAAATGGTAGCTTTGATTTTTGCAGAGGTGAATGGTTTAAAAACATCTAAAGTCCTTTCCACATTCTTTGTGTCCTTTAAAAAAAAA